GGGTGCTCCCTGTTTACCGCCACTGTCTCTGTGTCAAGGAGGTGGCAAGTTTGTGCAGGACCCGTAACTCTCAATCCTTCCCTCCTTCTTGATCAATGCTTGAATCTCCCTTGTGAGCATCCTGGACTTGCAGTGACTTCATGGCCTTGTCCCAGCCTGGTGGACTACCTACCTGGTTCCCTGTTGCGGAGTATTTTAACATCCAGTGACTGGCAGATCGCTCCTGGTGCCTCCTGGTGGTTTATGAGAACCCACGGATGTATATATATCCCAAGACTTGGGGTAGCAATGTGCTCAGTGAAAACCTATGCCCTGGTTTCTTGTTCAGCCAGGAGTGGTCATGTGAGTTCACATTGATCTGGAGAAATCAGGGGCCTCTGGGAGCGCTCTCTCTGGCAGCAGGCTCCTTCCCTTAGCTTTTCTTCCTGGAATGTGGCTTTGATGCTGGAACCAAAGAGCCTATCTTATGACCATGAAATCTTTTGAGAAAAGCAGAAGGGGATCAGAAGGAGGTCTGGCCCTGCACTGATGACATCACACTGACTCTTCATTGCCCATCTCTACTTATTTTGCAGGACCGAGAGGAAAGCTCATTTTCTAAGTCACTACTATTTGGGCATATATATGTATATATGTATGTATGCATATATATATATACATACACACACACACACACATATATATTTGCGCAGATGCAGAGGAGTGAACATCTGTGAGTGGTTGGGGGTGGGGCTGGATTTCTGCGTTGCTCTACAGTTGCTTCTACATGAAAATGCTGAGACTCAAGGCTTTAGGAAAGCCACTTTCTTATTAGATGGGTACACACACACACACAACACACACAGAGCATGCTTGTTGATCCTTTTCTTCCTACTCCTTTTTGGTCTAGACAATCTCTCTCTTAACGATTAAAGTTTATATTTTATGTAATTGGCAGGTTTTTAAATATAATTTAACTTTAATTTATGTTCATTGGTGTGAAGGTGTCAGATCCCCTGGAACTGGAGTAACAGACAGTTGTGAACTTCCATGTGGGTGCTGGGAATTGAACCTGGGTCCTCTGGAAGAGCAGCCAGTGCTCTTAACTGCTGAGCCATTTCTTCAGTCCCCAATTGGCAGTTTTTAAAATTCATTTCAGGTATAAGATCAGTTCTCAGTGTACTGATTAGCTCATGGCAGGCTCTTAACAAGCACACAACTCTCTGAAAATTTGAAAGGCTGTGGACAGCAAGGCCACCTCAGGCAATGGACAGGGTCAGGACTTTAAGTCTACTAAGAGTTTTAAATTCTTTACTGTTTTTTTCTATGGCAAAACATTTGACTATCATGAAATATATGTTCATGGTGTTCTGAAAAAATGGTCAGCAAGACGTAAACCTTCTATTCTTTCCTCTGGAGCCTAAGTGAGATGGCTTATTTATCTGGAATTTACCCATTTATCTAGAATTTCAAGGCATGTCTACTTGGCATGTCCTCTGTCACGAGGACTCCTTTATTCTCTCCAAGACTTAAAAACATCCAGACAAACTATGAGCTGGTAATTCATACCTCTGTCATATGAATAAGACTTCATCAACTGATAGTGAAAAAGCTTGGCAATAACCCAGGGAGATGCATGCATCCTCCAATCCCAGTCTTCCATCGCTCAGTTATTTTTAATAGCTAGATTAATGCACCAAGCAGTTATTTTTGGAAATTCATGGGGCCGCATCATCGGAGCCACATCCCATGGCGATAGAGGATTTGCTACTATTTGCATGTGCTGGCTGTTTGAGAGAAAACACATTATTTACTATTTCAGTGAAAACTTAAGAGGAGGGAGAAATAGGAGAGACAGTAAAGAGGGAACAGAAGGGGAGTGGAGAGGGGGAGGCATCTGAGAAAGGGAAGGGCTTGTGTAGAGAACAAGGGTTAGGAGGCAGATAGGAAAAGGAGAGGAAGAGCGAGGAAAATGGGGGAGGGAGGAGCTAGATTTGAGGAAAGGATCAAGAGCCTTATACGAGCTAACATGGAAAACAGCAGATGGTGTCGTATAGACAGACCTCCAGAACAGGTGAAGGAGACCATGGGGAATTAGAATTTATTCATAGTTCTCTTCCTTTTGGATAAGAACGTGGTAGGTTTTCACAACCAAAGCACTTAATGCAGAAACATAAACATCGATTTAATTTAGGCTCAGGTTCAGAATGATTTTGAGGTATTAACTAGAAAATATACCCAACATTATTCCTCTTTGTGCTCTTCTTACTTGAAGAACTCAGTGTGCTGAAGAGTGTTCTGGTGTGGACGGATGTAGAGGAGCTCACTTGGGAAAGGTCCGGCATCATATCCAGGTAGATCCCCGACACCTGCGAGTGAGCTCCAACCTGAAGCCAGCGCTGGGGAGCAGGTGTTCCAGGCCCAAGAGGATGGTGAGGACGTTTGGCTCTGAACTGGAACGTGCGTAAGTCTGGGTTGGAGAGGCCCCTGAAGCCTCTGAAAGGTTCCATCCCAGCGATTCCTGGAGATGCCACCCAGTCCTGCACCCAGGACACCTATTGCAACTTGGATACATTCATTTCTTGCTGTTGGTCTAGAGAGGGTCCAGGCCCAGGGTGAGACGCACACTAAGGCTCACCCACGCAGATGGTGGTAGAACATGGCTTGCAGAGCGGGGTTTGCATCTTCTTTTGCAGTTACATGCTGCACCCCTGAATGTCCTTAGACCTTGTCTGACCCCATCAAAGACCCCGGGGTGACACAGGCAGACTTAACAGACTTGGAGGTGAGGGTCGTCCTGAGAGACTTGCTGGGTGGGAACAGGTATCTGGCACTTTGCTGGCGCGGGGTAGGGTGTAGCATAGAGCTGAAGAATCATAACCAAAGCCGGAACAAACATTTTTCACGTGGGCGCAGCATAACACTGTGCTGATTGCTCCCGGCGCAGAGCGGCCTGTCATCCTGTCCGCTCAGAAGCAGGTCTAGACCAGGGTAGTCTGGCTAAATCCAACCTTCAAGTGCTTGAGAGGCCCATGGTCTCTGGAGCATTCCTGGGAGAATGGAAAGCAGACACAATTTCACCCCCACCCTCACCCTGACGTGTGTTAATGGCCCAAGCCTGACAGATAGTGAAATACTCATCTTATTTTTTTTTTCTAGCTAGCATTCAATCGATTGTTACCTCTCCAGAAGCATTTAGAAATGCCAAGGTCTACTCAGCCACACTAGATGGACCCAGGTAATGGGAAATGCAGACCACTCCCCCCGTTACTGAAGTGGGTCCTCCTGAGACAGAGTCATGAATTTTCCGTATTCCCAAGCAGCAGAGGAAAAGGCTGTGGACGTTTTGTCGGTTTTACAGTCTCGTTTGTGTTAGCACATTGTCTCGTTCGTGCCAACCTCTCCTTTGAGCCTGGATTTATCTTCTCCAAGTTCCCCAAACCTCTATTCGATAAATGGTGCCACATACGTATAGAGGATGGGGTTAGAACAGGGTAACTAATAAGTATATTCATTTTCAGTTTCCTTATGGGATTGGGTCCCATGGCAACCGCCTGTCTATGGATGCTCAGGTCTCTTATGTAAAATTGCACAGTGTTTGCATATAGAGCACGTACACACCTTCCTGTAGATACTGAGTCATCTCTGGTGCAGTTGAATTGAGAATCCCACAGTGTGGGGCTATGGGATCGTATGTAGGGGCTATGGCAAGGAGAGACATCTACACAAGTCAGGGTGGATACCCACCCCCAAGTATTTTTAATTCGTGGTTGATTGAGTCCATAGATGAAGAGGAGACAGAGAGCCCACTGTATTAAGTGACTTATCTGTCACGCTATCATTGCATGTTGGGATTCTTTAAATGGAGCTGTAGGAAGAGGGGTTGGTTGCAGGAAATTGGCAGCAACTGTATTAGTGGTGCCAGGAATGGCAGGGCTCCACAGACAAGCCTCCCCCACCCCTAGAATCTGGGAAAAGACCAGGCCACATTTGATCCCAGGGTCAGGATGAGTCTGAGCCAGGATCTCCTTTCTCATCACCCTAGCCCTTCTCCGGGGGCAGGGAAGAAGCAGTGGTGGTTGAGAAGGTATGGGGGGCTCTTGTGGGGAGTCTCTTTGTTTGCAGATGGAGCCTTTGACTGTGTGTGGGTGTCGCAGAAAAGCTCTGTCTAAATTCCCACGATTAGGGGCTCTGGAAAACTACACAATGAAAACCGGCTACATACAATTCACCTCCAATTTCTCTACCGCCATGGGGTGTGATAGTAAAGGCCGCTCAAAGATGCCCCAAGAAGACATCGGCGGCCATTTTCACCTGTGACCAAGAGACCTGGATGGAACTGGTTTAATCCTGAGTAAAACTCTCTCTCCTTTCTTGCATTTGTGAGAAATGTACCTTGCTCTGAGATGGTCGCAAGGCTCTGTGAATTGGGCATGGGATGTGGCGCTGGAAAAGAAGGCTGGAGTGAGTGGTGGTGAGCTCCTTGCAGCCGCTTTCAGATCAGTCTGGCTCCCTAGGATGTTGCTCCCCTCCGGAGGCAGACAAGCGAAGCAGCCATCTTAGAGTCACCCTCCTGTGTGTTCAGCTTAGAGCACGAGCTACTACGTAACCTCAGGTCCAGCATGGCACCAGTGTTGCTTCACAAGGGCTGTGAAGTGTCTATGAGGTTCTGCAACACCCCAGCATCACACAGACTGAGAAGACAGCCAGACAACAACCCTTCTCCTGAGTACCCTTCCCTTCACCTACTACACATAATAGCCGTGTGGGTGGCTTTAAGTGTAGAGCAAACCCTGATAAGCCTGTTTTATAAACAGACCCTGAAGGGGAGGGTGTCAAGGGTTGGGGACTATTGGCAAGCTCAGCTCCCACCCAGGAGTCACCCGCTAATCCCACAGTCCTAAGATCTGAATTTTGGCTGTGCTGAATTATTCCTTACCAAAGATAATGTAAACAAACAAACAAATAAATGACTGTTTGTATATAAGCTGTTAAGGACAATTGTATACAGATCAAAAAAATAGCAGAGGAGTCATTTTTATTGGCTGTCCACAGGATGTTCATCACACAGGAGGCGAGGACTGCCAAACGGTGGCACAATACAACACCCCATCTAAGCGCTGGCAGAAGGTTAAATGTCTGTCCCTGGCAGGACGGGCCCCAGTAACCCTCTGCAGCTAAGTCCACGCGGGATGGCATCGCCCTTTGTGCTCAGTCTGTCGCTCTGGAAAGTTTCACAAGATTAAAAAGAAGGAAAGGAAGGAAAACAGAGAAAGCAGCGTGTCTTCTGGAATACCACCACTGTAGCACGAGTGTGGCATGCAAACCCAGGTCTGGTCGGCCTTTCCCGTTAGGAGTTTTGTTTTGTTTTAACGAACAAATGGAACGGCCTGTCAATTTCAATTAGTAGCGTTACATTAAGTGCAATTTCAGTCTGGCCGCCAGTGTCGAAAACCTTCCTCGTGTCTGTCCTAAGAGCAGCCGACAGAGGGCGCTGCATCCACGCAGCCTCGTTCATTCCAGGCTCCTCCTTTAGAGGAGCCTCTCTTCCCCGGCCCACCTGGCAGATTCCAAACAAAATGTCCACTTGGCTAGGTCCATTGTTTTCTTTCCGTTTGTTGTCACCTGTGGTCCCGCGGCTGGCCGTGCAGGTCACACGGAGCTGAGTTTTACTAAGCCCCGCACGGAGTCTTCGTGCAGAGAGTCCTGGCTGGCCAGGCCCAGCATATGCATGGTGCGGCTATGTGTCAGGGGGCTGCCTGCCCCCAGCATCCTTGGCGGTGACGGTGCCTCATCCGGGGTCAGAAACTGGTGGCCCCCGTGCTCGTCCTTTAGGGGCATAATGTCTGAGAGCGTGGCCTCGGTGGCAAGGTTGGGCATGGAGGAGGGTGGCGTGGGCTGACCCAGTGTCAGGCTAGCACACGGGGTGCCCAACCCTGGCTTCCCAGGCATGTGCAGCTCTTCGCTGGTGAGGCTCGGCTCGCTCTGAAGCAGAGGAGTGGCTGCGGCCTGCAAAACGAATTTGGTGCTCTGAATGCACTGGTCTTGGTCGCACTGGAGAGCAGCGGGAGCCAGCAAAGAGAAGGTAGAGAGAGGCAGGGAAGGGAGAGGGTGAGACAGGGGCGGGGGAGGGGCGGGAGAAGAGAAACCGTTAGTGACTGGTCAGTAAGGCAGAGAGAGGCAAGGAGCCGGCATCCAGAGAAATGACACATACAAATCTGAGGGGCCGAATACAGTGCTCTGATGAGCGGGCACTCACTGGTGGACCTCCAGGGTGCAATGTCAGCTATCAGCTATATACCCATGGCCTTCACTCCAAACTTGCAGGATGCCACTTAAAAATAATCCCGGAAAAGTTACAGGATTTTCCCACCCTCAGCAGTCGAGACCACTGCTTCTTGTAGGTTGAGAACTTTTGTTTTTGTGTATGTATTTGTATGTGGTGTGCATGCAAGTGTATACATATATGTGCATGTGTTTGTATGCGCACACCCGTGCGTGTGTGGGGGGGTGTTGAAATCAGGTACCTTCCCCCACAGCGTATGTACTGAGGCAGAGTTTCCCTCTTGAACCCGGGATGTACCAATTTGATTAGTCTAGCTGGCAGGCTTATTCCAGCTACCCTTATCTGCCCCCTATGAGCTGGGATTACAGGTGGCTGACGTCACAGAGCAGTGAGACACATTTCTGGTTTGTGAGATGGGGATCCCAGTTGCCCTGCCCACCTTGGCTTTGAAGTGTGTAGACACTTGAGAAACCAGAAGCCACTGCACAGAAAAGGGGAACCCTAAACTCCATCCTGCCCGGCTCCTCATAGTAGAGTCAGAAGGAAGCTTCCCAACAGCAAAGAGAAGCAATGAGTGTGGCGCTCGGATCAAACTACTAGCTGGGGAACAAGCCTACTTCCTCTCTTTAAATAGGACTAGGGCACACAGGGGCTGCGGGGCTTGCTCAAGACCTCACAACTAGATGGATCCAGTGTTGAGGCTGGGTCCTTTGACTGCAAACCAACAACAACTACATATGGTACTTGGTAAATATTTGGCTTTCCTGGCTCAATAGTCCCTGATTAGAACCACACACTAATAGCCCTGTTACTACCAATCGGCGCAGCCAGATGTGCCATTCATCACCGGCAACCCAGAAGCAGCCCACAGGAACACATATAAAGCAACCTTAACGGGGGCAGCAAGGCAACTACCTGAGATCGCAAATGTCATTTCATCCCCTGTTGTGCACGTACCCTTCCTGGAGCACACCTTTTTCAAGTTCCCTCCTCCGTCTAAGCCTAGATCGGAAGGCTGAGGGCTGCAGAAGTTGAAAGCCCCTGGCTTCAGGGCTAGAGCCAAATTCAAGGGGGGCTCTGGGGCATAATATAGCAATGGGGGTGGGGAGTCTTGTTTCATCCCAGCCAATGGAATCTCAAAGAAACAAGGAGGCGGGGATGTGAACATACAAACATCACTTCGCTGGCTTAAACAACAGCTGTGGCCTGGAGGTGGGGCACCGTGAAGCCAAGAAAGCTGAGGCTAGGGCCCCTTGTTGGCATTGCTTCCTTCTGAGGTCACATTCTCTGCATACATGTTTTATGTCACCGAAGCTCTCTGAGCAGTGCAGCCCCGTACTGTGACCTCTCCTGTGATTCACTTTTTTTTTTTTTTAAAACCAGGTAGACTTCCGCTTGACCAAATAAATAAATAAATAAATAAATAAATAAATAAATAAAGCCACTGGCTGGAACTCTGTTGAAATTCTTAATGGTGACCCTTGGTGGCATCTGGTCTGTGGAGAGCCTCAGCTGGTAAAATGTTTGCTGTGCAAACAGTAGGATCCGAGTATGATTTCCGAAACCCATGTTAAAAGAAAGGACGAAAGAAAGGGAGGAAGGAGCCAGGCGTGGCAGCATATACCTGCAATCCCAATGCTAGGAAGACAGACTGCAGCCCAGACTACTTGATGAGTTCCAAGCCAGTGAAAGACTCTTTCAGAAACAAGGAGACAGCGCTGGCAGAACACCAGCTGAGGCTGACCTCTGGTGTCCACATGCACCCCCACCCCGCTCCCGCCGTATCCTACACACATCTGCACACACATGGACATGGACAAGTGTGCACATCTGCAGAAAGTCACTCTGCCATCTCTCCAAGTGTCTACTTTAACCCTGACTCCTACACACATTAAAAACAACACCTTTATGTGCATTGGGGTTTTGTCTGCATGTGTATCTGTGTGTGGATGTCAGTCTTGAGGTCACAGACAGTTGTGAGCTGCCATGCGGTTGCTGGGACTTGAATGTGGGACCTCTGGAAGAGCAGTCAGTGCTCTTAACCACCGAGCCATCTCTCCAGTGCCCACACATTGTTTAAACGTCTAAAAGGATGGGTAGGCATAGTTGTGAATAGTCCCCGGCTGCAGTCTGTGTTCACAGGCCTCCTTAGCCTGTGTAACTCCTCCTTGCTCTGTATGGTTCCAGTAAGCATAGAGTTGGGGCAATGAGCCTAGGGGCTGAAATCCTGCTGCCCCGTGTCTCTGAAAACCATCTGACTCATTCAGGGGGCACACAGGACTCAACCCTGCCAGCAGAGTACAGCCTATATCCCTGTTTTATTGACTGAACAAGGGACAGGGTGGGGCCTCATCAGATTCTAACCAGTGATCACAGGAAGGCCCTGCACACTGCAGCTTATAATTTCCATACTATAAATAGTGTCTTCTGTGAACATCTCTTTCGAGAACCTGAATAAAATGAACGAGGACTATGCAGGACTGTAATTGTATTGTGCGCGTGCGCACACACACACGCACAGACACACAGACACACACACACTACATTTTTTTTTCAGGTCAGAATTTTTCTCTATTTATCATATTGCCCAAATTCTAAGGATGATGGTTGGATGAACTGTCATGGTTGTGAATGAATTTGAGAATATTATAGGCTTGGAAAGCAGCCAGTGTTTTCAGTGTTACTATGGAGATGCCCAATAAAAAATATCCTCACTTCCCTTTTTTTAACTTTTGCTTCTAATTTCTATTTCCTCTTGTTGATTAAAAAAGTTTCTTTAAAGTTTCATTTATCTATTTATTTATTTTTTGTGGTGTGTGTGTGTGTGAGAGAGAGAGAGACAGAGAGAGACAGAGAGAGAGACAGAGAGAGAGAGAGAGAGAGAGAGAGGGGACAGGGATAATGTTTAGGAGCTGATCCGATGCTCTCCTTCCACCCTGTGGGTATTGGGGCTCAAACTCAAGTCCTTAGGCTTGGCTGCAGGTGGCTTTAACTGTTAAGCCATCCTGCAGCCCCCACCTTTGTTGATATTTGTATTTAATTTTCTTACTCTCTGTCCCTACATATTCTACTTATTGTCCCTCCATGTTTTTCTTTGATAGATTCTTCCCCTGCATTTCTTCTTGTTCTTTCTCATCTATTCGCCCCTCTTTCCTCTCTCCCTTTCTCTCCCTTTCTCTCTCTCTCCCTCCCACCCCCCCCTCCACGCACCAAATGCTCTCCTTGCTCTTTCTAGCTTTTCATTAGAGGCCTTTTGACCTTCCAGCAGTAGAGGGCGCTATGACTGCTTGCGTGTTTTGCTCTGAGTTTGGTGGCTCTGCATCTAAGGTATATTTGAATTTATCTAACAGGTTCTGTGATTTTAAGACGAAAAAGTGCCCCGATTTATGATGCTGACAGTTCATCTGCATGAAGAGCACATGGAAAGAAACTACTATGTTCATTTTCAGAATAATCCTTTAAAAAGGGTTGCATTAATCAAACACTGGTTATAGCATATGAAATTACTGGACTTTTTTATATTTAAAAGTTGGTCAGATACTGGAGGGGGACAGAGTAGAAGTTGACTGTGTGTGAGTGTCTTCCAGCAGACCTCTGTGTCTGGAGTGCTGGACTTTTGCTCTGAGTCACAGGCCAAAGGCAGCATCCACGTTTACATGGTGAAGAAATTATTTATGGTTTCAGATGTTGCGATGTCATTAGATTATGTTAGATGTGATCTAATTCCAATCACGTTAGATGAGAATTTAGTGCTTCAGTGTGAAGACAGAGGGCTGGCGAGCTGGTTCAGTGGGCAGAGGCGTCTGCTGCCAAGCCCGAAGACCCGAGCTCCTGCTCAGACCCCACATGATAGAAGGAGTGAGCTGACTCCCATAGATGTCCTTGGACCTCCACAAACACAGCACTGGATGCATGTGTGGATATGCGCGCGCACACACACACACACACACACACATGCACACACACACACACATGCACACACACACATGCATGCGCACACGCACACACACACATGCATGCATGCACACACACATGCACACACACACTACGTAAATAAATAAATGTAAAACAAAGAGAAAACCTTAAAAAAAGCAAACCACCAGCAAGATCATTTACTCTCAATTTCTATAGACTTTTGGGTAAAACTTGGGACACACTCTATTCTAGTCTGATTGACATCTTATCTGAAATAAACCCAGTATTTTGAGGAAAGTCTGAATTTTTGAAACGCTAAGAACTTTCTAGGCAGTCTAGATTCACATATACAATGGCTTAGATTCCTCGTAGCTTTCACTTCAACTCTGTCAGAAGGACTCAAGCTGGACAGGGTTGACCTCTGCTAAGCTGTAAAGCCCTGTCCTGGGCCTTAAGGGCACACATCTACAGTCAGAAGACCAGTGCACCTTCCAGAGTCCTCCTGAAGTGCAGATTCAGGGAAGAGCAAACAAGCAACAAGCTCTTAAAGTTGCTCCCCCACAATCCGTGACTTTTCAGGCTCTGCATGGAGACTCCTGCAGCTCCAGTTTAAGATTCCATTCTCTTCATCACTTCCCTTCCTTGGATACTTTAAGGTTACAGGCACTGGAGATGGGCTTTGGTCACAGTGAATGTGGCAATTTGGACATAAAATGTCCCCGAGAACACTTGGTCCCTAGCTGGTGGTCAGGTTTGGGAAGGTTGTGGAACCTTTCGGGGGTGGAGCTTTCTTGCAGGAAGTACGTCACTGGGCACAGACTTTGAGAGTCTATGACCTCTCTCCACTTCCGTT